TAGTATTTTATCTTATTTATAAACAATGCAAGATATAATATAAATGTCGATAGTTAAGTTAGTCTATGTGACCTATAGCTCTCGTACCCTTACTTTAGCTTCCACTTTTGGATATCTCTTTCAACGAAAGTATCAGTTTTAAACATGTTAAAATATACTATTTACATACCTCATAACTATCGTACTAACACATATCGTAAGGCACATTGAAAAATTAACAATATTTCCTGCATTTTGGTTGAAAAATCGACTTACGATTCGTAAGTAACTGATATTCTCTTTTCAGATTTGAGCTCAAATTTTTATATAGTACTATTGGTCTGCCTCTATGATAAATATTAATTATGTAAGTCCGCACTTTTCCTTCTGTCTGGTAAAACAATTTCAAGGAGTTTTCTGTTATGTTTGTATATCTAAATATGTCTTGCTCCTTGCCTATTTTTTTTTTAAAGATCTTATAGTTTCAATACTCAATTTATCCAATGTTAGATCCATCGCTTAGATCCATACACATATATTTTTTATATAGATATCTAGATAGACTTATTACAGCTAAATTACATCTACATCTCAACCTTAATTTGTATTATGCATCATTCTAATCCACCCATTTTAAATGATTTTCTCTAAACAGGGTATATGAGTAAAAAATCTGAAGAAAAGTTAACTAATAACTTTTCTGCTCTTTTAACATCTTTTCACCTCTCAGCATTATTATTACGATTTTTTTTTGTTTTCCTTTTAGCCAGGTCAACAACGAGCTACACTTTGTGGTTTCCTTTGGCAACGGCAAATTGTGAGCTGCTCAATGAAGGAACCTGGTCGCGTTGTCTCATTAAAACATCTGCGGCCTTTGTAAGACGCTCTAGACGAGCAGCAGACTCTGGTCTTGCCTTGACTTGTGGCTGCTCAAACAGCGGGATGCTGCACTCTAATTAGCCTTGGTAGTACAATTTTTCACTCATTTGCATGCCGTCAGCGGCGTTGATTTTGTGAGGCTAATTGCACAGGTTGGCGTCACACTCTGCTTGCATGGCTCATGGTGTCAAATTACACCGCTCAGCTATCAAAACCACAACTAAAGCTCTGTTCCCAGCCCTTGTGCCACCCTTAGCCAAGGGGAGGTTTGCGGTTTGTACCTCTCTCTCTCTCTCTCTCTCTCACTTTCCTGCTAGATATCTATTTACACAGAGCGAGGGTGGGTAATGGGCTCTTAATTAGGCTCATATAGGATATTGTGGCAAACACATTTACGATATGTTTATTTGCGGCAGATCGTTCAGATTCGCGGATTAGCTAAGCATGGATAGGCAAGTGCGGGGGGCTTTTCTGGTTCATTGGATTGCGTATCTGATCGAGAATGATTCGTTTTTTATCATATAGCCTGATTTTATTACCAATTGTATATCAGTATGAAATCTATCTATTTGACATCTATTATTGGTTGTTAACAAACTCGTTTAGCAAGAGGATTATTTACTTTAGATGTTTGAGAAGTTTTCATAAAAAAATACCAAGAATGAAAGTCTGTAGCTTTAATAGCGGCTCATATGGGTAAAAAAAATCTTTTAATTACTTTTATCTTAACTAATATTTAAAAGTTCTTAGCTAACTTGGCAAACTATTGATAAAAAACTTATAGGCCTTATAATCTCTTCTCTTTAAGATTTCAACTCACTGCAAGCGCCGCGAGTTATCGTTGCTGGCTCCTCCGGACATGAGAGACTTCCTGTGGGGCAGGTGGAGAACAAAACGATATTGCCAGACGTAGTTGAATCGCTGGCATTTTGCCGCGTTTGGGCAACGCTTGATGACCTTTAATGGAGGCGCAAACTTAATTGTTGCAGTCGAGTTTTTGTTTTGCTTTGTCCTCGTCCAGGGGCTAGTTTTAATTAGAGTCGCATGGAAGTATGCCCCGAGGCTGGTGCAATTCTTATGCAAATGCGTTTAATTACAAAACTGTGAAACTGAATTACGCAACATTGCGTTATTTTAGTGAATTACTTGCGAGTGGAGTTCGTGTGTTTAATTGGCGAACTCAACGCCTTTTTAATTGCGAATCCTTCTTGAGGCCAAGGCGCCGACAAACCAACAAACTTCAAATTGCCAACTGACGCCAGTCCGTCAGACAGCCAGAGGCCCTCAGCACTCAGTCTTAGCCAGGCTAACGAATTTCCATTTGAATTCTTATTTTTTTGCTGCTCAAAATTGAATTTCAAGTCGACTTTGTAGCCAGCAAAATCGATTTTGATTGATTCAATTTGTGCGCCGTGTGATAGCATGTCACTGATTCGATACGTAGTATGTATGTATGTGGATGAGTACTTTACACTTTGTGTGCATCAGTCATAGAGTATATACAGTGGAAGCAGTTCCATAGAAGTACCTATAAAGTGGAAGTAGGATTTATATATTTCAGTAAAAGAAATAAGTTTATTTAATGCAGATTAAATAGACGCATCGCTGTTTTCATCGGAATCATAATATCGATTTTTATTGATATTATCGAATGAGAAAAAATGATAAAATAGTACTACGCTTTGAGTAGAGCAATATACTCAATATTCCGCCTCCTTCTTCCTGTTACTATAAGAGGTATAGTTGATTGATTATGATGTTTCGTAATGAACCAATACTTTTTCAATCAAAGAGTGGAGTATTTACTATATGGAATTTACTATCATTTAGAACATTAAAATAAGCTATAGATCATATGGATTCTTATGCCCAATAATTAATATTTCATTTCCAAGCTCTCAAACTGTCAACTGTATCAAGAGGACAGACACCGTTGAAGACATATCATTAAGTGAGCCTGGCACGCCCATTATAAGTTTACTCTACCTTAAATCGTTTGACCACCCTACACACAAATTTTTCCTCAGAGATTCAACTAGTTATTGGCTCCCAAATTGTGAGCCCGTTCCCATTCCTATTCCCATTCTCGCCTACTAAGCTATTCCAAGGTTTAGGTTAAGGAAAATTGAAAAGAAAAAGCTTAAGCGCACTCGCGTCCCCCTCATTGAGACTAATAGAAAAATGTTTATAGATAAAAAGGCGACAAATTGAATTTGCAAAGGTCAGACATAAGTGTGACACTTGATAGCAGGCATTCGCACTTCACGCAGGACACGCAGGTCCTTACCGGAATTCCATTTGAATTTCCATTTGCTATATATTCGCATTTTTCTTTTTGGCAAATTGAATTTGCGAAATGATTTGATTGTGCATTAAAAAAGCCTTCGCAACAGGGTGCGACTCGAGCTGCCACCCCTTTATATGCTCTTATATCTATTATGAAAGAGGCCAAGGTAAACCGCATTAAGGATTTTAATTAACTGCCAAAATGGTTCTCTATATATACATATATCTATATACAAATATATCCATTAAAGTATTGAATTTCACGAACTAAAAACGTTTTTTACGCCCAACTGCCGGAGCTTAATGGGTTGGAAAGACTTTACTGACTTAAGCACGACGGGTCAGTGACAGCGCAGGACCTTGATATGTTGTTAGCATGTCATTTTTTACTTTTACTCAAGATTAAGCAGAAAATTATGAATTTGTATTGCCAAGGTTTATATGAATTTTAAACTTTATTATTAATATAAATAATAATATTATAATATATATATTCTAATCCAATAATTTTCCTACATAGTTATAAAGCTGATGGTCCAGTATGTACACTTACAATTTTTTTAAATATTTGCAGACCGATTACTACTGCGGCTTATCACCGATCTATAAACTTCATCCCTTAAACTAATCTAAATTAAATAGGAAATAATCATTTAAAATAATTTGTGTTCGAAATAAATGTACTTATTTGATCAGAAATCCTATGCTTTATATTAAGCTACTTAAATTACCTAAAAACTAGCCCAATCGGAGTGGGCTTCCTCCCCCATTGATTGGGCATTGAACATATTGTTTTTCTATTAATTATAGACAAATGACATAAGAAAATTGCAGCAACAATGCGCACATATGGCTTCCACTCTACTTAGCGAGGGAAAACCGCAAAAGTCCCGCGGGAAATGCAAAAAGCAGCAGCAGTGAAAGCAACAGGAGCTGGCATAACACGCGATAGTCAAAAGATAATCACAATAATCGGACGCTGCACTCGGTCGCTTTAAACGATTTTCAATATGTCAAGGGAAAAGCGTTTCACGTATGACGCACAATGGAAAATTCGATGGGCAAACAATATCGAAGCTAGTCGAAGCCAACAATCGGCTTAGAGTGCACACTATGGGGGGTTGACCTACGGCAGCCCAGCCCCGGGGGTGAGCGCGTCCGTGTCCTTGCTGTAATTACGTATCCTTTGTTCGCTGCCTCATATGTGCGTGTGCACCAAGGTAGCAAGGCATCGAGGGGGAGGGTGTGAGGCAAAGATCTCCATAAGAGAAAGAGTACCTTATATGCTAAAACTATCTTTTCAAAAATATGCTTAAGAAATTTTGCCTTAAAATCTGTATCTATTCAATTTTTTTTTTAAATTTCATGAGAGCTTACATTTTCTCAATAGCTGTATCGATATTTATAGAACTATGCATTTGTCTTTATCATTTAAGAGCTCTGCAATTGTATAGATATTTATCGAAAATATATAACAGCTCATTTATTAAATATATTTTATTAATCCACAAAGTATGCCATATTAACCCACAAAGTATATCATTGGATAATAACGTCGTATGGGTAGTTGAATATAATTCCTACTAAAATATTTCAAGATTTCCAAAATAAAAAAAAAAATGGTATGTCTGAAAATATATGTACTTTGTAAATATTTCCTTTTCAAATCGATATTTATCGAAATCGAAATATTCATATCATAGGATACGAACGTCGTATGGGTAGTTGAACATAATTCCCAATAAAATATTTCAAGATTTCAAAAATAGAGAACCGAAATATATCGATACTTTTCTGGTAAACTCCAGTAGTTAAATGTTTTTTCTTTTACTTTTATATTCTGTTGAACTATTTTCAAATGCCATCAAATTTAATTTTTTCAGATGTTACATTACGATCGTGATGACTTGCAGAGCAAATATTTTGGGTATATCACTGGTGACTTCGACAATTTCGGCGAAGAACTTGTAAGTGCCTTTGCGCATTCTGTGCTCGTTGACTATATTCAACACGCTTATATTCTTAATGCTATAGTTGCCCACCTGCACGGGACATTCCAGAACTTTGCTGAAGTGTATGGTGTCCATGAAGAAGTGACGGAACTCCGGATTGTTGAGAAACAAGCAAAAGTCCATGTGACGTAAATCGAAGATCTTGATGAAATCATTGCTACCCTCGCGCTTCGCCCGCATATTTATATTCATAATGAGATAGTTGCTGCCCAGCTTCCGATCCAGCTTGACAAAGACATCGAAGTGTTTGCGATCCTCGTGTATATGGGTAAAGGCCTTCATGAAGTGCTGGTCGGCATGAACTCGAATGCGTTCGAAAAACAACTAATTGAAATTCAATGTTTTAGCCGATAGCTCTATGATTTGTATATATTTTAAAATTATTACCTCTGAGTCATTTTCTTCCTCAGATGAATTATTCAAGTATTGCGTGTGGACTAAAGCGCAAAGCCCCAATAGAATGAGCAGACGTTCCATAACGAAATGATATCATATTCAGTCTGCATGAAATTATAAACATAAAATATACAATATCACTTAATGGGGATAATTTAATTTGTCGTTAAAGTTTGGATGAACTAAAGATACCCTGTACGTAATGTGTGGATGAGCTGGGCGAAATGAGTTCTGAAAAATTATATTCAAAGTTAAATTTTACTCTGAATAATCAAAACAGTTCTCAGTATTTCTAAATACAAATAATAAAATTCTGAAATAAAAATTAAGTTAAAAAAGAAAATAAAAGAAAAAAAAAAATGTTTTTTTAATTTAAAATATTTTTAAAAATATTTAACAACCAGCATTATCAGTATTATATGTTAAAAATTTATTTTATTACAATATATCAGGTGAATACATCCAACATTAATTAATCTTAATTTGATGCTTACGTCCAATTGTAAATTTTCATTTTCATTCATATATTCATAATATATTTAAATAAATATGAAATAAATATATAACACAAGTTAAAACTTCCTAAATTACTCTACGAATTTATATATGTATTAGTATACCATCAATCATATTCCTCACCCATTCGAAAATTATTTAAACAATCTCAAAAGTTAGCTGATTTTGTCAGTAGTTTTGGAACTTTGTAAAGTTAAGCCTTAGCCTAATTCTATTTCATACTTATATTCTATTTAGCTTACTAGTTAATTATATTTCTTCATCTTTATAGTTTTTCTAACTTTATAGAATTTTAAGCTAATTAAACTTCCTGTTCGAGATGTTTTATCGTGTTACATTTTATGAAGTGCGGAAGTTCTCTAACATAGTTTATAAGCAATTTGTCAAGTATACATATATAGTCAACATATAAATATACAGGTTCTATATACATACATAGTGGGTGCTACTATGTCACCACTTAGTCGACGTCTCAATTAGCTAACCGACGGATATGTGCGCAATCAGGGCTCATTCATTAGGCGAAACAAGAAACAAACGACTCTGTGACATAGCCCATAAAATATATGCACTATATAAGTATATACTATATATACATAAACACTATATACTATCGTGTATATATAAAGTCAGTCAGGAAGGAGCAAAGTGTTGAAAAGCCAATTAGCGTTGCTTTTGCCAAATGACAGGAAGGAAGCCATAGCCACAGCAGCGACTGCAGCCACAGTGGCTGGATGTGGTTGTGTTGATAGGACTATGGATGTGGATGTACGTGCATTTGTGGAAATGGCAATTGTTTGGAATGAAAAGTTGTAAATTTATGAAAAACCGCACGCAGCGTCAACACCTCAATAAACGAAAGAGTTTGAGTGTAAACACTCACTTAGTCAGTCAGTCAGTCACTTAGTCATTGCCAACTGTAGAGATGAGAGTTTGACAACGTTTTCCAACACTACGAAAGCAGATTTCAAAATTTTATCATACTTAGACATTCTGAACTTTAGGTTTATGTTAATTATAATTTTATATGAAATGATTCTAGTAATAAATATGTATTTATGTGAAAGGGGAGGGAGTGAGGGGAATACAAATCTGGGCTTAAGAATCAGGTACAGTCGGCTGCATCATATTTGAATTGGATACAACACTATGCTGAACTTATCGTCAAACTTCAAAAGGCTTCCTTTAAGAATGCTTGAAATTCTTATCCAATACGCACATTCTTCTTATAAATAAATATCCCTTTTTCTAAAAAATCCTTGTCTATGTATTTGCTATACTCTTCTATAATTAAATCTATCTATCTTTAGATAATGTCGACAATCATTTACATTTGATCTAACTTACCCCAAAGATGCGGCTATATAACTTTCATGTACCTTAAATCTAAATTACTTAGATTCATTAGATCCATATATTATAATGTTTATATTGTAAAATATAAATTACAAAAATGTTTAAATTATAATAAAAAACTGCAATAAATATGTTATATCAAGGGATGGGCAACAAGGAAAGTATGTAGAAAGATGAAGAGCAATCTAGATGGAGTCGGAGAAAGCTAGAGTATGTATATAGTCAGTAGAAATAGGGCACTTTTAATTTCTAAAATTCCATTTTCTAATCACAAATGCCGCGTAAAATGCCGAACATTCTCGTGTCACGCACGCAAACAGCGCCAAATACCCAACTCTGAGCAGGTGTTGTGTAATTTTCTGCGTCATTTAATTAAGCCGATTCACTGGGTGGCATGTGAGAGAGAGACAGAGAGAGAAGAAGTAAATGGGAGCAGGAGGCATGGGGAAGTTATGTTGCGTAACTGTCGATTCAACTTAGGCAGCTTATAGTCTATCCACCAGTCCGCCTGTCCGTCCCATATGTGTGGTAATTAACTAACATGTGCTGTTAAATGATTAATAATGTTTTGGCTTAATTATTTATTCATAATCTCTAATAGTGCCGCCAGCAAGAGCAGCTTATATGTTAGCAGCTTAGTTGCGATTAATAGCAAACATTGATACAATGTTTCATAAACAATACGATTATCATTACCAACTAGAGCATAAGTTAATTAGCCTAAGCTTTGCGCACACGCGTATCGGTCATAAAGCAGGCGACCACCTCATTGCCCCGCTCCGAATCGTGCAGCGTCACCTGCAGGCGAGTGGGCACCTCTGGCTGACTGCTGGCCACGGGCAGCCGGAGGCGATAGGTGACATCCTCGCCAGCGTCCAGAGGACAGTAGGCGCCGTGCAACAGATTCTCGCAGACATTGCTGCGCTGGGCGTCCAGCTCATAGGGTATGGTAACGCCTAGCGAGGTCAAATAAACCTTGGCCGTCAGCTGATGCATGGCATTACGAGCTGTCGATGGAGGCATAAATATCATCAATTAGATACCTTTCTTTATATGTTTCTATAGGCTCTGCTATATACTCACTGGCTACAAACTGTATGGCTATGCTGGACTCTTGACCCTTGAGCAATTCACAGGGCAATGCATTGCAGTCATTTATTTGAACCATCAACGGCAGCGGACTCTTGGCATTGGCGCCTATAATGGAATACCCCTAATGAGGAAACGAATTATACAGGATTTCATTGTAATTTACTCACATTTTCTGATGGGCGTATCGGCGCTAGCAAGTGTCAGCATTAGTCCAAAGATCAGGCAGGCATATAGAAAAACTTGACTGGTAGACATTTTGTATTTGTATATATTTTAGGGAGTTCTCTTTGCGAGTATTTCAACTTAAGGTGTTAATCCAAAGCTGTTTTGAATTGTTATGTTCGTTGTGGTGCAATCGCTGCCTTTTATATCAATGGGAACTGCCTCAGTTCAGTCGCACTTGCTGCCCAATCTAATCGGAGCAGCAATTAGACCATTTTATTGTATCATCGCCAATGTAGGAAGCTATCAAAAGTAGGTCTGGCTAATCTATTGTCTAAATTCGTTTATTTGTTGGTCTGCGATTAAAATATACATTTAATGAAATCAAAAGTGTTTTGTGTAATTGTTGCTTGCATAAGTTGGGATATAAATTTTGTTCATTTAAAATTACGTATTTATATATAGCCAATAATAAGATAATATTTTAATATAAAAATATTATAATACAATTGTGTGTACTGATTTGCTCACTAATTGAAGTATTTAAGTTCAGGTGGTAGTCTCTCTGGCAGTATAGTTCAAGTTCTATAGTTAGGTGTAAAACGTATATAATATGAATCATGAATATGATATAAGTAAACCTACAAAATTTATATTTCAGCGATAGCATTTAACTGCTTAGCTTAGCTTTGCCACTTACTTAAATATTATTTCAATATTTGCTTTATAAATAGGTCCAAATGCTTACAACTTTTTTAACAAATTTTAGCTAGAATAAAATATATACTTAGTAGATCAGACATCATTAGGCGTAATTCTAACCTAAAGCTGAACATTTTCCTTTAATTATTTTATGGTATATTGAAATAGATTTATGTACTTCAGGGGAATCTTAATAGCTGATTCATAATGCAGCTCTTGAGAGACTCAATAGACTCTGCTATGACTCAGAATAGTTTCCTCTCAATGTCTTGATTGTTTTCGCGTGCCTTACCGAGTGCACTTACACTGTCAAAACACATTGAAGATACGGCCAGTGCAGGTGAACTGAGCCGCCAAGTAACAGATAACCGCTAGAGGTACAGGTAAACGCGTTATTTGAGCTTATCAATCGATGGTGTTAATAAAATTAGCAAGCGATTAGCAAAAATAGCAAACAGTAAGAGAAAACACAGTTTGCGTTGCATATTTTCAGGCAACAAGAAATCTACCCTTGTTGACAGACAGAGAGAAAGAGAGAGAGAAATAGATATAGAGGGGAATATTTGCCTGCCTTTATATATATGTACATATATTTGTATTTGCTCGTCACATTAACATCAATTTATATGCATAGGCAATTTGAAGCAAGTTTTATACAATTTCTTACACCCACTTGACTTTACAAGTAGCACCACCAGCAGACGCAACAGGAGCAACAGGATTACCAGAATGTCAAGGGGTGAACTTAGCGAAGCACTTCTTATCCAAATTTCATCAATATTCTCATATTTTGTGTTTTAAATTTCAACTGTTTTATATGCAAATTAGCTAAGCGATTTTCCACAGATTGCGAGTAACTTGATTTTCTTCTTGTTGTTCACGTTGTTGTTGTAATTTCTTCTTCTTTTTTTTTGTGAAAATTGATTTTTAAATGTTTACGTCGAGCTTATTAAAATGCTTAAATGATTGGCTTCCCTTGCACATTGAAGTGCTTAAACTCAAGCAAATATTTTAATTTGCATTTGCCTCATTCTGTATGATTTGTTGCGCCTCATCTAATATTTTGACTGGAATGTATAGCAGTTACTGGGTTTTTGTAGGGTTATGTTGATAGTTTGCATTTTACCGAGCGGTATACGTTCATTGCATTTCGCCTATATGGCTTTATGGAGTGCAGATTTGGGGGATTGCTGTCAAATCCAACTACAAAAGAATACAAGTACTGCAAAATAGAGTACTTCGATAGATTACAA